AGAGCGTCTCGCGGTTAGATTAAAAATAAGGAAAAATTCGGGTAACAGACCGTGTCATTACCTAGGGCTAGTAATTTCATAAGATAGTGAGATTTTATACTAGAATTGATTAGATTAGTCGGTCGAGGGTGTAGGCGGAACCGTGAACTAGAAATTTCTCTTATTTATTTTATTTTTATTTTTATTTCGTTTGTCTAGATTTTATTTATTTTAGTTAGTTTAGCTATTAAATCCAATCCCCCCCTATTTTATTGCTTTTATAATTTCAATTAATACAAAAATATCACAATTTGATTCACACTCCTTGTGGGTTCGACCCTTACTCACTACTACTAGTTGGTAGAAGTCGGTTAAGGAATTTATAAATATTAATTTTGCCGCGTTGCGACGCGCGGTCAGCTCGGCAGCAGGCGAACTCGACATCTAGGGACCCAGTCGTCCTTTAGATGATCAGTCTTGAGTACCTCTTTGTATATTTATTTATCGTGTATTTTTGTCTCCTTGATTATCTGGTCGTATTTTATTATTTCATTTATCAGTTAATTAATCAGAGCCAAATTAAGTGTCAACAATATTTTTGTATGTATAATGCTAGCTAAACAATAGATTTTAACTAACAAATTATACCTACATGTCACATCCTAATAATATAATAACAGTTACAATCATGATGTGGCACATTATGATTGCTGCCACAACTATCACACATCATGTTGTGGCACCAATCATAATGTGTCACATCATGTTGTGGCACCATAATATGGTGCCACATGTGATGCCATAAAATTTATGATAGTCTTATTATTATTAGTATTATTATTATCATTATCCTTATTATTATTACGTTAATCCACTCTATCTCATTAATGAAAAATATTTACTTGGACTTGTTTTGGGCTAATTAAGACAAAACGTTACATTTTATGGCAATTGATTAAAAATTATATTTTTTTATTGTATCACATAATTATTATTATTATTATTATTATTATTATTATTATTATTATTATTATTAAAACCAATAATTTTATTTTACACTATATGATATATGAAAATTACATAAAAATAAAATTATATTAAAAATTGTTTGTTCAAGTTATTCATTCTCAAATTAATATTATATTTTTATTTGATTAAGCGATTATTTTTTAAATAAATTAATATATTTTAACGTCATAGTAAAATTCCTTAAGTCGCATATGAAATTGTTATAATAATTTAATACTTTTTAGCTAATTAATTGGTCTTGAACCCTCAAAATTATAAAATCACATTATTTATTATATTTTATGCATTAATATAGCGATTCCTATGCAATTAAATTGTTATGTAATACATATATTAACAATGATCAAATTTCAAAACATAACACATTTATTTAACTTATAATTTTAATATTATATGCATAAATATAACTTTTTTTTTCCAACGATATAATTGATATAAAACACAAAGCACAAATGTGCGAATACAAGGCAACCAAAGGCTGAATACACTTCAGCCAACAGCTGAAAAGACACAAGAAAAATAAACGGGAGGACAGGTCAGACGACCGCCTAAGACCCGACTAGCAGCGCTAGAATAAAAACACAACACAAAACAACTAACGAACCACAGAACAACTAAAACAAATACAAGACCCCAACATGGGAATACTCAAGCGTCGGACCCCAACAGGGTAATACCCAAGTGTCAAACCCCAACAGGGTAATAAGATGACACTCAGGCGCATAGACTGACACTCGGGTGCACAGAGGCCAACCGGCCCAAACGGAAAACACTGAAAATAGAAACAAACCTACACGAAACAAGACAAACACAAAACAAACACTCGCTAAAACAAAACAAAAAAAGGCAGACAGCAAAAACCCTTCCCACAGTGGAAGACCACACCGAGCACAACCGTGGCAAAGTCGAGCCCAAAATCCCAACCCAGAAACTGCAGGAGCGCCTAACTGGATCGAAGACACACAGGTTAGCCCAACCCTCGTCCAGACGAACAAACTCCGCTGCAACCCGGAGAAACAACATACAGCCAAACCCACAACCTCAGGCAAAACCTCTGGCCGGCAATTTCCGACGATACCGAACCAGAAGCAAGCAACACAGCTCGCCAATCGCCGAAAACTGCACCTCCAAACCACAGCCCCGACCCAAACGAACGCCGACGACCCCACCACCAACACTGAGCCCCAAACCAGGCCAAACCGGCCCGACAACCC